TGCTGCTTTTGCTTAAAATAATTCTTGTGAAAGGGGACTATATATAATAAACTACCATGCACAAATGCTAGTTAAGTTTGTTCCTTTTTTATAAACAACATGTATTTATGAAACTCTGAGCTTGGTACTGTACTTAGCACCAAAAGATGGCTGGCCAGAAGAGTCAACCACCAACACGGTTGGAGCTGTTTAAAACCTTAATTAAGAGTCTGGTGGTAATAGAAATTATAATAATACACTTTAAGTACTATGCAAATTAATGAAAAATGTATTCTGGACACATAAAGGAAGACGTGCCCAACGCTGACTACAGGAATCAGGGTAAATTTTTCAGGAGTGGTAGTGACTAAACTGAAGCAAAAAAACAAATTTGTCAGATTGAGATAATGCAGAGTCTCCATATAAAAGTTAAGAACTTATGCAGATTCAGAGAGGCATTTAACTTGTTTAGGGAACAACAAATAATTCAAGGGTTGCTTGGCGGGGGGGGGGGGGGGGGGGGGGTGGGGGGGGGGGGGTAGCAGCAGGCAGGGGACAGTAGGAAGAATGACATAAGATGTTAGGGAATGTTAGGGAATGTTAGGGAAAAAGACCAGAAGCACAAAAACCAATGTAATTCTATTTACAGTGGTCTACAGGAGACATATCTATATGTGAGAGTGACTGGGTATTTCTTCAACTAAAATAGGAAATAATGGAAAAGGAGCAGACTTTTTTCTTGGGAATGTGAAGACAGGCTATGTAACAAGATGTTTAACTTACAGTACCTACATCACCTGGGTGGAGCTGTCCAGTAAACACATAGGTTTAGAGATCAAAAGAAAAATGAAGTCTTGAAGTTGAGATTCATAAATCTTCAGCATTAAGGGAATGGATCAAATTTCCCCTACGTGAAGAGGGGGCACACCGTACCCTAGAGAATTAAATTGCCTTTCCCATTTTGTATGCTCAAAAATGTAAGCTACTCCATTAGGGCCAAAGGAAGTACAATTTAATCTTGATCTTATGATTAGGTCAGCAATCTAAATGAGATTTCTATTCCTAAAGCTTGTTTAGTCACATTAGTCACATTATTTACTATTATTAATGTTATTAATGACCTTATTACTATGGTTCTAATAACTGGCCCAGAAGATCCTCTGAATTATCTACAGTCCCCAAGGCTCCCCTCACTAACTGATATCAGGAGGGTCCTCCAGATCAGAATGACCTTCTCTTGGATCAGAACTGATCAAGCAATTACTGTGAATGTGTTTTAAACTTTAGGGTAAAAAACATAAACATTTAAAATATGGTCCCTGTTTTTAAATCGACTAGAATTCTAGCTTGAGTGTAAAGACAAGAACACAAGTAATAAGTCCTGGATATAATTTCATCTAGTCCTTGGATAAGCTGCAAGAGGTAATACTTTCTCCCTCTTCTACTCATACCTATATATAGCCTTCCTATATATAGGAAAAGTTTAGTTTGCTTTTAATGGCAATTTTATGAAAAGCCACTAGGTGGTGATATTGCCTTAAAAATGTTCAAGAAACTTATTTTGATCTCAGTAACTTGTAGAACTGCAAGAGATGTTTTCTAATACCCTTTAAATAAAGATTTTAGAGATTTTAAATCCTTCATCTTATAGTTGAGAATGATAAGATAGAGATTAAGTGACTTGCCAACGATTCCACAACTGTTTAAATAAAGGGCAATGACAGGACTAGAGCCAAAGTCTCCCTGATTGAGCCCTAAGGGTGTTATGTTCCTTTCATTAAAAAATGAGCTAATTTATTCTCTAGAAATTCTAATTTATTCTCTAGAAAATGAAATTATCTTCAGTTTATGTGGAAAGCACGTATTTACTCATATGGGATGGTCACATAAAGAGAAAAAGATCCTGTAATTTGGAAAAGCACTGGAGCAATGACTTGGTAAAATAAAAACTCAGAAATGGGTTATATATTACTGTGGCTAAAAGTTTCAGGAAAAGTTGATTTTAAAATAGCTATGAAAAAAAATGAACAGGTATAAAGAAATGGGCAAAAACCTCTGCTCTCCAGTTCTGTATTTTCCAAGGCCAGATGGGACAGTGTATAAATACTGATATACAAAATAAGAAAATGATTATTAAAGTTTAAAGAAATAATTTCCCCCCTAATTTCAACCCAGTGGCTCTCTTTTCTTCCACTTAGCATACATGACAGAGGAGATCCACATGGGTCTCACCACCCCTGATCCTGAATTCCTAAGTATGGACTATCACACTCCATCCAGTTCTCAAGTTCAAAAAAATATCTGAAATCAAGTAAGTGAGAATGTAGTTAAGCTATTACAGTAGTTAGCTGAAATGTGTTCTGCTTGGGAACAAACAAAAACCACTGCAATAATTTCCTGAACACTTCAGTTACTCTATCTGTAATAGCTAATTACATAGAAAATACTTCAAAGTGACTTGACATTTGGATGGGTGTTATTACGATAAAGGCTTACCTTTCTTCCTGCTTATAATGACAAAGAAATATGAATGGAAAGTCATTTATCACGTTTATTTCAAGAAATATCTAGAAAAGTTGCGACAATATTAAATCTGCTAAAGGCAGTATGGTAAAAATTGGTATGTTATTAAGATTTACTAGAACAATGCATGTATTTTTAAAGTCATTCCTTTAAAATTAAGCCTACTTCTCTAATTTTAAAGAATTATTTAAATCAAAAATCAAAAAGAAAAGTTTTAAGGGAATAATATAAGCCCCTAAAATATAGGATATTTGCTTACAAAACAAAATAATACACCCAAGTTTTTAGCTTACAAATTTGGGTAAGCAGGAAAATTTAGTATATATTACCTGAAGATGCAAATTTTAAATTTTCTACTTTAGTAAGCTCAAAATTCCTGTATCAATTCAGTAGAGCAATGGGGATCATGGCTCAATGAACATATCACACCCTTGGCACTCCACTGAAACCCAACATTCCATTTTAAAAAAAGGTAAAGTAAACAGGGAAATGGGAGTTTAATACACAAAATTTGACTTTACAGTCAGTTATCCTGGAATGTATCTAATATCTGAATAAATGCCAGCAAAAAAGGAATCTATAAGATGAAAAGAGTAATTTAGCTCTTCTCCATCTCCACCGAAACCTACTGTGAAAACAAGAAGGGATTTATATTCAAGAATGACAAAACATATACCTGTATTAAGGATGATCTAAACTACAGTGAAATCTCAATTAACCAGCTACGCAAATAGAATCCTTAATTAAGCAAAAGTCCCCCCACCCCAAAGAACAGTCATTGAAATTTGGTTATTCAAATATACAAATACACATCAAGAGAAGTTTTCAATTAAGTGCATATTTGGCCAGTCTGTTTTTTCCTTCAATTTCTACCAAGAAGTATTATTATATAAGATGGAAAACAAAACAAAAAACAACCTGATAGCTGGAAACTTGAAATTACACACTCTTGATTCTGTCAACACATATTTTCTGATCTTTAAAGTCACTCAACCCTTCCTAGGTCTCAGTTTTCTCAAATACAAAATGAGGGTTACAGCTTTTGTGCTTTAAAACAGTTTTTTTAAAATTAATATATAATATATTATCTGTTTCAGGGGTACAGGTCTGTGAATCATCAGTCTTACACAATTCACAGCGCTCACTATAGCACATACCCTCCCCAATGTCCATCACGAAGCCACCTAAACAGTGTTAAATTTAAACAAACAAACAAACAAAAACCCACAATGGTTTCTTTAAAAAAAGTATTAATTAAAAGTGTAGCAAGTAAAACAAATAAAAGCGGAAAACTCTGGCTAAAGGAAGTATAGGGGACTGGAACCCTGTCCAAAACAACTGTCTACACCACAGTTTTCTGAAGGGTTTAATGAATTCTAATGGATCTTAAACACACCATTTAAAAACCTCTCCACACTAAATAATGAAAATAATTTTCAGAATGACATGATGACACGGCAAGATTCAAAAATAAACAAATTTTCACTGTAAAAAGTTCAAACATGAATATTTTACCAACTAACCAGAAACTGGCCAACATTCAGTGAAAGTAAACACCTACTTCTAAGAATTCCAATTAACTGATGCATCACTGCATTAAATTATGGTTACACTGAAGAAATTACAGAATTGACAAACATAAAGTACTTCAGAATATGTAAGTGAAAATAAAGAAACAGTACTGTTTGACAGGAAAGAAACGGGCCACACTAGAGATATATTAAACCCAATCAAGTCTGCAATATATTTACATAAAATCCATTATATATCACAGAAGTATTTTATTTTGAAATTCCTTATCAATTCTTTTGTTTTTTAAAGATTTTATTTTTAACTAGCCTCTATATCCAATGTGGGGCTCGAAATTACAACTCCAAGATCAAGAGTTGCATGCTCTACGGACCAAGCCAGCCAAGTAACCCCATATTAGTTCTAATAAGGCAAGTCATATTTCACCACCACCATGTCCAAAGGAGCCAAAGGAATCTATATCCTAACTGCAGCCACAGAAGCTCCATAAAGAAGAGTTATGCAATGGAAATTCTTCACAATAGTTTGTTTAAGTAAAAGGCTCTAATGAGATTAAAACAAATATAACTGTAGATAAAAGTATAGTTTTAAAAAAACAGAAGTCCATAATAATAACTAAAAGTGTGTACGTTTAAACATGCATTAAAAAAGCATATATTAAGATTTTTCACCAAACACAAAAATCATAAACATCTTAATATCTGAGTCTACATTAGAAATTTAAGTATGAGATTTTTAAAAAGAAATTATATTTACCTCTAAATGCCAAAAACCAATTATTTTTAAATTGAGATAAATGCATGAAATTGCAATTAAAATAGTCAATCCAATATGGTACAAAATTATATTATTTCACATATTTAACAATGAAAAGTAAATTTCCCTTTTCTTAAAAAAATAAAGTATTAATAAGGTATTCTTAAAACTGGTCTCTATTGTCTTTAATAGTCACTTCGAAGTACTCTTACCTTTCTTCTGAGCTATACAATCGAGCAAGTCCAAAATCTGCAAGTTTTATTTGCCCTCTGGTAGAAGACAAAATGAACAAAAAGCATTAGTCTACTCTGAAATCAGACACATTTGTATCCATTCATTGATATCTAATTATACACATTCATATTCTATTCCTAAAACTAATAAAAAATATGTAAACTTTAACTTTGATCAAACAGCAGTACCCTAAGTCCTAAAAGAAAAGGCAAATAGATAAACTCACAACAAAGTAAAAAAGTAGTACTTCTCCTTTGGTGACTTCAGCTACTATTATTCTATCTAAAACCACCACCACCACCACTATTTTTATTGTACTAGTATTAACAGTATTTTAGTACTATCTAGTTCCTATTTAGAAAAGTATATGACAAGAAAAATAAACGGAGATAATTTCTGCTACTTAGTAATTAGACATATTACTTGTTCAATTCAAATCAATAATGCATAAGACTAAACCACATTATTTTAAATCTATGTTTAGTTTTCCAGTTCTTAGAGGGACTAGGTACATAAAATCTTTTCGCACACTGAAGTCGAACTAGGCATGCCTCACTTAAACTAACAAGTAACACCAACTATAACAGAATTACCAGAGCCCAGGTTATGTTGTCAGTAAAATGTTTTTAACATACACTTTAAACATCCATTTATGCAGGGGCACCTGGGTGGCTCAGTCGATTAAGTGTCCAACTCTTGATTTTGGCTCAGGTCATGATCTCAGGGTCATGAGATTGAGCCCCCTGTCCGGCTCTATACTGGGTGTGGAGACTGCTTAAGATTCTCTCTCACTCCCTCTGTCCCCCCACCCTCCACTTGCACTTTCTTTTTGGGGGAAAAAAAAAAATCAACTTATGCATATGTGTGTGTATACACACGTCAGAAAAGCTCTTTTTAAAACTGTGATACTGGTGTAAAAACAATTTCTAAATTAAAAATTCTTAGATCTATTCTTAACCTAAAGCTGAAATCACATTATTAATTACTAGAATATCCATTCACATTATTTGGAAGAATATCAAATGAGAAATTCAATTAAGTATTATTTTATGTACATTAAAAACTATCATTGGAAATTAATTATATTTAACACAAGTCCAGATATACCTCAAGCAGTAATATTGCTGATTATATTGAAACAGTTTGAGCAATAAAATAAATTTAAGTCTTTTTAACAGAATCAAGGCATATATTATACAACACTGATTTTAAACACATATATCAAACTCACATCATACCTATTATTTAGAAGAATATTTGAACATTTAATATCTCTATGCAAAAAGTTCTTCTTATGACAATAATCCAGACCTTCCATGAGCTGTCTCATGAATGACTTTATGTGATTTTCATTAAAATGAACCAAGCCTGATTCCAGTAGTCCCATCAGATCATGGTCCATATATTCAAACACCAGATAAAATGCACCTAAGAAAAAGGATAATTAATTCATTAAAGTTTTTATTCTTATAACTTTTCTATAGGTTCAAAATTTTTAAAAATTAAATGCTGTGGAGAAAATTATTCCTTGAAAAGAAGTCCTACTTTGTCACTTCAATAACATTCATCTTTCTCTCTGAATTTAATATCAATAAATGCATTTCAAGGAAACATCTAACTCAGTTTTCTTCTTTTGAAGAAGAAAACTGTTAAAATATCAAATCAACTCTACAATGCATAGTTTCTGGGTGGTGATTAATGTAAAATAAATTATTAACTGTTTTATATATTGAACAAACTGTCTCTCAGCAGAAGTTGAATAAAATCAATGTAGTTCATCAAAGAAAATTTTAAAAGTGTAAAAACAATTGTGTTTAATAAAAAAAAAAAAAAGACTCTGGGACCAGTTGGGACTTTAGATGATTTCTATTAAGCCTTCAACATATAATTTCATTCTGTTTATACAGCTCCAGAGCATTTGAAAGCACACAAACTGCAACTGTATTTTATAAAACCAGCTTAATCTTGCTACCCAAACCTAAAATCGCACATAGTACATACACAACAATCGTGATTCAAAAATCCTAACTGAAGCTCATACAAACTGAAACCAAAGCTGTATCTAAAAATATTCCAATCAGACTAAGTTTAATTTATCAATTCAAGAATGGAAAAACTAACAAAATTCAACATAGCTATCAAAGAAAAAAGCTATTTATATGCCAAAAAAGTCATCTGAAGAAAGCTAACAATCAGTTCCTAATTAAAAACAAACATCTCACTCACAGTAAACTTAGAATGATTCTTAAAAGTTGGGGATCAAAAAGTATACTTGTGATGAGCACTGGGTGTTATATACAAGTGTTCAATCTCTAAATTCCACACCTGAAACTAACACTTGAAACACTTGTATGTTAACTAACTGTAATTTAAAAATTGTTTTTTAAGTTTATAATGGTACCTCTCTCAAATCAACAACCAAGTCTTATTGAACAGTAAAATGCCAGTAAAACATGACAAAAATATTCATTACTAGTAACTGCTCTAAAAGTTTAGTAAGCAAAATTATTGTTAGTAAATAAAATTAAAGACAACGCATAAACACTGAAATAGAGAAAAATGTAATTATTGATAAAGATGACTATTTTCCTTGAAATCCAAGAGAATAAAGAGAGTACCTGGGTTAGAGAAAATCATATATAAAAAGCAAAAAACTTCATCTATGCAATTAACAACTCATTAGAAAATAAAATTTAAATTAACTCCACAAAAGTAAAAAAAATTACTATAAAGGATTAGGAATAAACTTTAACAAGAACTATACAAATTCATTTAATTCAAAACTGTAAAATTCTGTATTTTAAAACAATTTCAATAAGAAAATCAAGGATTTGCTTCTATTTTCTTTTGCTGAGAGGATACTTCACAAAAAGTTCTAAAGTTCACCTTAAACAAGAACCAAAGTACCAGCTAAAATGTTTCTGAAAATTAACCTACCAGAGATTAATATGATCTGTAGGGACAAATATAAAAGTATAACACGATATATACCAGAAAACAGAGCCTAAATATACATCTAATAATTATGAAAGCAACCATCAGTGAAAATAAAGAGGCAAACTGGTAATGGGACGAATGTATGACACCTTAGGAAGATGGGGAGTTATAACAAAGACAAAACAAAACCCCATTAAAAACCAAGAAATTTTACTAAATAAAAATTTAGAATAAAACGTATATAAGTAAACAATATGGAAGAGAGGGAAAGGTAAATGACAAACCAGAGAAACACATTTGCTACAAAATGGGTTAATATCCCTAATATAAGACAAAGTCTTAAAAATCAGTACAAAAGAAGATCAATCCCACAAGAGAAAATGAGAAATAAAATGAACTGTCAACGTGCAAATGATATTTTTGTACAAAATACATGAAAACCTGTTTAATCCCACTATTAACCAAAATATACAAAGTAATATAATACTTTTAACTAAAGGGAAAAGATTTCAAAAAGAAAGACAATAAATACACAGTAGTAACAAATACTGTGAGGTAAACAGATAATGTTATAGAGTGCTAGTAAATCAGAAGATTTATAAAATTAGGCAATATACATGAAATTACGTATCCTTTTACAAAGCAAGTACATTAATAGATATTTAGCATAAGGAAATAAAGATTGATAAGATTTAGCTATAAGCATGTTCACTAAAAGCAATGCAGAATTAAATATTTAAAAGCAAAACAATAAGCAAACAAAAAACAAAAAACCTGGTTATTATGGTACATCTATACCATACCATGCACTTTGAAAATCACTGTAGAAGTATAATATTAATATGGAAATGTATTATTGATATTGACTTAAAGTAAGTAGATTATAAAATAATAGTTACTTGATAGATCTATCTTTGATGGCATTAAATAACGAGAAAGTATTTAGAGTCTACACAGTGCAACAAAGCCACACCAGCTATTGAGTACTTCAAATGTGGTCAGACCAATGTTCTCGAAGTGTGATGTACACACTAGATTTCAAAGACTTCCTACAGCAACAAAAAAAGAATACAAAATACCTCAATAACTGTTGTATTGATTATACTGATCTATTAGATATACTGGATTAAGTAAAAATACCTGAACTAGCAACCGATTTTTTAAAATGCGGCTAAGAGATTATTTTAAAATAAAACAGAATGGCTTGCATTCTATTTCTATTAGAACTGCATTAGAGGTATAAGAACTGAAATAGGACAGCTAAAATTATCTCTCTGTGCAGATAACATGATCTTTTGTTCCCCAAAAAAGACATAAATATTCAATGAAAAAATTATTAAAAACAGTATCACAATTTAGAAAAACAGCAGAAAATATACAGTAGTCATTAACATAACTACCAATTAAAAGACAAAAGGGAAGACACCATTTCTAGAAAGAGATTTTTTTTTAACTTAGAAATGTACCAAATCCTTCAAAGATAAACTAAGAAGACAGAAAACTTTACACCAAAAAATGCATAAATTCTTAGGAAGGCTCAACCTGATACAGAAGTCAAAAATTTTCCCCTAAATAATTTAAAAATTAAACACAAGCCCAATTTCTACTTATTTATTTAAGATTTTATCTATTTATTAAAAAAAAAAAAAAGGAGAGAGAGAGAAAACTCTAGCAGGGAGAGGGGCAGAGAAAGGGAGAGCAAGCAAATCTCAAGCAGACTCTGCGCTGAGTGCAGAGCCCCAAGCAGGGCTTGCTCAATCTCACGACCCCAAGATCATGACTTGAGCTGAAACCAAGAGTCAGATACTTAACTAACAAAGCCCCCCAGGTGCCCCCACAGCTCAATTTTTAAAAATACAGGTTTTTTTTCCTAAAATTAAACATGAAGTCGATGTTATAACCATATAGAAAAATAAAGAAAGAAGAAGAGCAATGAAAACACCTAAAAGAGAAAAGGGGATCTAGGCATGAGGCTCTACCAGGTATTAAGGTCTATAACTAAAAAGTGTAATATTGCTAAGTGAACGTGAAATAAAACAAATCCAGAAATATGTCCAAGCATGTACAGAACTTTAATATAAAGATGGCATATCAAGTCAATGGGACAAAAGATGGACTTATTAACTAGCAATATGTGAGGAACTGAACAGGCAGAAACAGATAAAACTGATCTGTTTCTCACAACATATACCAGCATAAAAAAGCACATGAACCAGTGCTAAATATAAAAAAATAAAGTCATGAAAACATTTTTTAAAAAACATGAATTTGGGGGCACCTGGGTGGCTCAGTGGGTTGGGCCTCTGCCTTCAGCTCAGGTCATGATCTCAGGATCCTGGGATCGAGTCCTACATTGGGCTCTCTGCTCGGCAGGAAGCCTGCTTCCCGTCCCCCTGCCTACCTCTCTACCTACTTGTGATCTCCCAGTCATATAAATAAATAAAATCTTAAAAAAAAAACAAACAGAAAACTCACACATGAATTTCTTCATAGCCCCAGAGCAAGGAAAACTTTCCTAACTATGAATCAAATCAAGCAAAAATAAGAGGAAAACACTTCAATAATGTGACTAGGTAAAAATAAAAATCTAATGGGGCGCCTGGTGGCTCAGTGGGTTAAAGCCTCTGCCTTTGGCTCAGGTCACGATCTCAGGGTCCTGGGATGGAGCCCCGCATCAGGCTGTCTGTTCTGCGGGGAGCCTGCTTCCTCCTCTCTCTCTGCCTGCCTCTCTGCCTACTTGTGATCTCTGTCAAGCAAGTAAATAAAATCTTATTAAAAAAAATCTAATGCATGGCTAAAAACACTACAAATTTAGCAGAGTAAAGCAAACTGGCAAATATTCATTTGAAACTTATATTCGATAACTTAATAATATCCGTCCATAAAAAGTCCCTGTAAGTTGGAAAGAAGAAGATTAACAACCTTACAGAAAAGTGGGCAAAAGAAGATAGAAAACTCATGGGATGGTGGGGGGAGGGGAGCAGGAAAGGACCGTAAACTGCCATTAAATCAATGGAAAGATGCTTAACCTTACGCATAAAAAATTTATTTTTCAAACTGAAACTTCACCACAGTAACAAACTGACAATAATCCAAAAGAATGACACAAGATTCTACTGCAGAAGCTGTGAGAAACCCTCATACACTGCTAGGAATTTGGCAATATGAAGTTTAATCACATTTAGCATTTCCCTCTGACTTAAGCCCAATTCTAGGAACCTGTCCCAAAATTCACTGACAAAAATACAAAATGATGCAGGCACAGAGCTATTCAATGCACCATTCTTTTTTTTTTTAAAGATTTTATTTATTTATTTGAGAGAGTGAGAGAGCGACAGCACCAGCAGGGAGAGGGGGATATGCAGACTCCCCACTGAGCAGGGAGCCCGACACAGAGCTGAATCCCAGGACCCTGGGATTGCGACCCCAGCCGAAGGCAGACGTTTAACCAGCTGAGCCACCCAGGCGCCCCCAGCATTACTTCTAGTAGT